TTGTCGCGCTCCACCTCGACGCGAGCCTTGTCGTTGGTGAGCTGGTCCACCTGCCGGCGCAGCTCGCGCATCTCCTCCTCGTAGAGGTCCCCCAGGCGCGACTTGCCCTGGCCCTTGAGCTGCTCCAGCTCGGCCAGCAGGATCTTGTTCTGCTGCTCCAGGAAACGCACCTTGTCGATGTAGTTGGCGAAGCGGTCGTTGAGCTCCTGCAGCTCCACTTTCTCGTTGGTGCGGGTGTTCTTGAACTCGGTGTTGATGGCGTCAGCCAGCGAGAAGTCCACGGAGTCCTGCAGCAGGCGCACCCCGGGCACGCTGCTCCGCAGGCGCACGGCCGAGGAGCGCGTGGCATACACGCCGCCGGGGGACGAGGCATAGAGGCTGCGGCTGGTGCTGGGGCGCAGCGCGCTGCCCAGGCTGTAGGTGCGGGTGGACGTGGTCACGTAGCTCCGGTTGGAGCTGGGGCGGCTCGCCGTCCCGGGGCCGCCGAATATCCGGCGGTAGGAGGAGGAGGAAGACCTGGTGGACATGGCTGCAGACGGCGGTGGCTCGGACGGACTCCGGGAGGAGATGCGGACGAGGGTGCAGTGGGAGCGGGGTGCGTCTCTGGCGCAGGGACCTCGGAGCAAGGGTGGCAGAGGACGGGCCCCAGCCAAGGGCGCTGTTTTTATAACCCCCTTTGGAAAAAGGGTCCCCTCCCACTGCCATGCAAGCCACAGAGCATGCCAGCCAATAGGGACCCAGCGAGAAGGGGGGAGTGGGGAGGGCTGGGTGGGCGGGGGGTTGGGGCGGGGGCGCCCTCAAGCCTTCCTCCTCCAGGCTCCAGGGGGCCCAGCACTGGGGACTGGGCAGAGTCCCGTTAACTTGTGAAGTTGGGCTGGAACTTTGGGGGCTTTCCTCGCCATGGCGCGAGGTCTGGTCATCTTGGGGGCTGACCAAGGCGAGGGTCCCGGCGGAGGAGGAAGTCGCCTGGGAGTGGACTAGAAGTGTCCTGGGCGCTTCGCCAAGGGGGCGTGGGAGGAGGCGCACGGGTGGGAGGGGCGCGCTGCGGGCGCTCAGCCACAGGGCTGCGCCGGCTGGGAACCGGTGGGTGGGGAGCCCCGCAGCCAAAGGGGCAGAAAGAGGGGGAGTGACGCTGCTGGGAGGGCTGAAAGTAAGGAACAAAGAGCGCCTGAGATTGGAGCGCGGGCTGGGGGACCCTGGGCCCCCCGCGCAGCCTCACGCACTGCACACTTCGAAAGGAGAGCTCAGAGCCTAGAGTTTGTGTCTCTCTAGACTTTTTTCTCTTGCTTTTGCTTTGGGGGGTGTCGTATGGGGACCTAACGGACTCCGTCGGAGCTAACGGGACGGCCTGCGCAGAGGCGGTGGCCAAGGAAAGCCCAAGGGGAAGGGTGGGGTCTCGGAGTCTCTGGCGGTGACTCACTGAGCCCTGTAGGTCTGCAGAGGCTTTGGGCACCTAGTGGTTCAGGGGAAACCGTTAGACAAGATTGACTCACGTCTCTGAGGGCCCCACGCACCCTGGATTGTGAGTTTGCTTCGATGTGGCGATTTACACTGAGAAAGGAACTTCCCGCAGACTCAGTACCGTCTGCAGCCAACAGTTCCCAGGATCACTGGTGCTCTTGGAGTTTGGCCTCTCTTAAAAAGTTCCCTTGCACCCTTACACCCGTTTCCTCTCCCTCTTTCCCCTCCCCCTAAGGAACCACACCCAGCTTAGCAAGATCTGAAAGTTCTGGGTAAAAGAGGAAACTGTGCCTCCTTAGTTTCCAAATCAAATAAAGTTTTTTTTTCTGCAGAAGTGGAAGTCATTGCAGGTATAAGCTGCGCCAATTAAAGAATTAATCAGATGTTGCTTTGACACCACCACCACCCCCCACCACCCCGAGTTGATTAATAAGATCAAATGAAAGGCAGTTATATAACTCAAGTGATACAATGTTTGGGGAAAATAGATTTATGTACTACTTTTGGGGACAGCTGCACGGTGCAGAATTCTAGTGACTTGTCTGGGAAATGTCACAGCTTCTTGCGGTATGTACATTTTGTCTTGGAGGGCGGGAGAGAAAGCTGACCCACGTCATCAAGAGATTCCATCACGGTAATCCTTCTAGGTCAGTCACTCCATCCAGGGGATGATTGTTTCAGTGATAGTAGAATGAAGAATACATAAAGGGAGAAAAGAGGAATCAGTCCTTCTGTGATTGAATAGCAATTTAAAAACCAAACTTTTCTTGAGTGCTTAGAATACTTTTGGAGTACTGAAAGAGTTCATTTTAGAACCGCTGTAAAAATAGAACACCTTCATTCTATTACTAAAGATCAATGGTTCCCAGTCATAGAATCAAATTGTTTCCATTTTCTATCCTTTCACTGGAGATCATGTTTCCTATGTCTTGGAAGAGGTATAGCCAGAATGTTCCTGGGAGGCAAGGAGAGCAAGACTTCATCTCACATACTTTGGACATTTTATTCGGAAAGATCAGTCCCTGGAGAAGGACATCATGCTTGGTAAGGAAACAGAGGAAGGCCCTCAAAGATGGCTTGATACCGTCACCGCCGATAGGCTTAAGCGTGAGAACAATTGAGGATGTGGAAGGACCACGCAGTGCTTTGTTCTGTTGTATGAGTGTGTGGCACCTAACAGCGATGTGGTTTCCCGAAGTGGGGGAGATCACCTATCACCCCTCCTGCGTGGGGGAGCTCTAGAATGATCCTGGCATGCTGCAAAAACACATATCTACATTCTATCTTGAATTATGGGCTATACGACAACCGTTTTTTTTGACTGTCAGGGGGCACCAAGTAATTCTTCTTTCTGAAAAGGGGGCAGTAGGGCAAATAAGTTTGGGAACTGTTGCTATAGATAGAAAGAAACCAAGTAGTTAATCTTTTGCTTATTTTTGGAGGGAGTCGGGGAGTGGTGGAAGCCACCTGGCATTTCAGAAAATTGTTTTAGAGTCCAGTGAAGGACTCAGTCTGTGTTTCTCTTAGGCAATATTTTATTTACCTCTCAACTCAGTGAGCTCTGGCACACGGCGCTGGCAGGGGCTAGCCTGAGGACCCTGTGCTGTAAGTGGGCCTACTGTGCCTTCCTTTTATCCCCTCATTCACTGGCAGGCTGGGCCACTCCCAAAGGGCATTCCTGGGGCTTCAGGCCTGGCAGGGGAGGCTGTGCCCCACGTTCCCATCTTGTGTTCTGAGAGCCCTTTCTTCACGCCAGGGCTCAGCAAATGTCACCATTGTGAGGTTGCCGGGAGCCCTTGGATGAGAAAAGCGACCTCTCTTTTGGGGGGGTGCCTGACTCCTACATAAAATGCTGATCCTGGCGCTATGTGGTGGCTGGCAGTGCCAGAGGATGCTTGCTGACTAACTCACTTCGGAGAACGAAGGCCAGGCTCTCGTGTGGTGTGGCAGTGTGCCCTGTCAGTGCCCACAACACATTCCTCAGGGCTGTGCTGACTGCCTGTGGGATGGGCTCTGATGGTCCCCACAAGCTGAGGGGAGCCCCCCTCTCCTCCCACACCTGGTCTCATTCTGTGTGCTCTGCGCAGTGGTAGGCTGCTTGCTGCCCACAGCTGGTGTGTCTGCCTGCCAGCAACCGTGTGGCTATCTAGGTGAGGGTGGTGGTGGGGGTGGAGCTGTAAATAGTGTGTGGAAAATGGAATGAAAGATGTGATTTTTTTCATGACCTTTTTGAAGCCCCTCATGTGTATATGTATATTGTGTGTGTGTGTGTGTGTGTGTGTAAACTCATGCAGAGTCTGAGGGTTGCTAAGACACTGAAAAGGTCTTGATGAAGCTTCCCGATGAAGAAAAGAAGAACTAAGAGCAAAGGTCTCATGATTCACTTGTGAAAACATATCAGTCAGTGGAAACTCCATGAGCCACAATGGTATGGTCCCTTGATGCATGGATCCTGGCAGCTAGCAACAGCAAACTTACAGCTATTCATACAGAGATGGGATGGATAGATAGATAGATAGATAGATAGATAGATAGATAGATAGATAGATAGATAGATAGATAGATAGATAGATAACACAAATGAACAAGCGAAAGTAAGACTGCTCAGTGTTGCTAGGAACTAGGCATTGGAACTGTGGTTCAAATCCATCAGCAGAGACTCAGAAAAGAAGATGAAGCGTTCTGCTCCTAAAGTTGCCCCGGTGGCGTAGTGGTTATGAGTTTGGTTGCTAACTAAACTCAAGGTCCGCAGTTCAAAACCACTAGCCAGCTCCAAAGGAGAAAGCCCCGTCTTTACTGTCTTGGAAACTCTCAGGGGCAGTTCTACCCTATCCAGTAAGGTGGCTATGTGTCAGCATCGACCTGGTGGATGCTCCGACAAAGATTTACAATCTTGAAAAGGCTACATAGAGTCACGAGGAGTTGGAATCTACTCAGTGGCAGTGGGGTTGGTTTTTTAACCCATGTGTACACACACATACACCTATATTACTGTATATACTCATGTATAAGCCGAGTTTTTCAGCAGATTTTTAATGCAGTTTTTGTTGTAAAATTAGGTGCCTTGGCTGATATTCGGGTCAGTTTATACTCGAGTATATACAGTATATAGTTACTCATCTGCACTATATGCAGATGGACTACAGAGAGGTAGGTGAAGGCTACAAACACACTGGCACTCATCTGTGTCAGAGGCCTGAAACTTTGGAAGGCATTGTGTGTGCTTCAGTGAAACTTACTGTGCCTAGCACAGGCCCAAGAACAGTAGAAGTATGTATCAGTGAGGCACATATATGCCTGAACTAACATCCTGGAGTTGAATCCTTTTTCTTTCCATGTAGTCTCCCCACTTTTAATCACCTAATGGAAGTTACATAAGCAAGCCTAGCTTTCTCTGTTTTCATCTTTATTTTTGATTGCTGGGAAAACCTATCTCAAGTCTTTTTAAAGGCTAGGCGCTGAAGCCGCTTCAGGCCCTGCCCAATGCGTAAACATGACCACGCCTGAGTCTAAAATACGAACAGTTATTTTGGAATGTGCAAGCTGTGGTGATGTCCATTGAACTGGGTGATTTGCACTGTCTGGCCAGCTGGCCATGTGGGGGGAAGCTTAGCATCCTGCTGAAGTGTCAGGCTCCAGGGCAGCTCCAAGTAGGGCTGACTGGATGAAGCTTTAGAGATGAGAAGGTGAATAAAGAGAGATGGGGAAAGTGCGAGGAAACATGAAAGGCATGGTGGTAGAGAGAGCATTGAATGCTACAGTAGCCACCTTATTGTTTGTCCGACTGAAGGACAGTCCTTTGGTATCTATTGAATTTTATTTAGTTTAACGCGCTCACAACATCCTGCAAGACAGATCTGCGCATCCATTTCACGGAAGACTAGGCCCTCAGGCCACCAACATGCTCACTGTCTCGCATGACCAGTAAGAGGATGAGAGGGAGGGAAAAGGGAACAGTATTTTGTTGCCAATGCAATCTTTTCTTTTGGCTTGATCAACCAAGTCATTTCATAAATACTATTGAAGGCTCATTGCGGGACGCTGTTGGGGAAGCATGGACTGCTAGCTGCCAGGTCAGCGGTTCACAGCCCCCAGCAGCTTCCTAGGAGAAAGTTAGAGGTGCTCTCCAGGAGAGATTTACAGGCTCAGAAACCCTACCTAGAGCGAATGAGT